GATTCTATGATTCTATGATTCTATGCTCCAAAGCACTCTAGTGCAAAGGTTTTCTTCACAGAATAATGTAAAGGGTTTGGCTCATGTATCCTTACCCTCTGAGGATGCCACAAATTCCTGAACAATGGAGCTGCACACTAACCCACACGGACATTTTAATATGACATGAGCCACAGCCTGGCGCCTAACTTTAATAATCATTAAAAAAAATAATTCTCAATCCTAAATGCTAACAGGCTCAAGCCATACAGAAATGCTTAAGGAACTGAAAAATATCCATCTCGTCTTTGTGCTCTGCGTGTTCCATTTCATGATGATGTTCATATTCTCCCTAATGGCGACATCACTCAGGAAATGCTACAGACAAGCCAGTGGAGATCTGGAGAGAGGACGTCATTACTGAAAATTATAATTTACTGCAAAGTTTAGAGAGTTTGTACATGGCCAAAACTGATGTCTGGAACAGCTAAAGGAGTAAGAGCTGTTACAGAGAGATGAGAGACCTTTTGCTATCAAGACCAAATCACCTGGAGCATGGGGGAAGGAAAGATAAGCGGTTCTGAAAGGTCGTTCATGCAAATGTGAAGCAGTCCATTAGGAAACATCATATGGTAATTTTATTTAGGCTAGTCAACACAACACTGCTAGAGGTGCAGAACTGTTCAACCTAGACTTCCTTTTCATGTTTAAAGGCCAATTAAAAAAAAGGAAATAAACATATTTCGCTCTTAAAGGTGAAAACCTGCCAGTGTGCACACAATGCATACTCATTAGTGCTAACACATTAATCAATACATTTTGCCGGATAGTTTTGCAGTATGCTTATAACTGCAATGCTCTGGGAAGATTTTATAAAATCAAGTGTGAAGTCCTGTTAGGGCTCCTATGAAGAAGCAGCCCTGCACCGCGCTGTACAAACACACTACATGCAGCCTGTGTTATTTCTCCTGAGGCACTGCACAGTGTAGGTGCATCACGCCGTTAGAAAAGCAGCAGGAGGACTGTGCACAGTAGGACCCAGTCCCTCTCAGAGCACCAGGCACTGCCTGGGGGAACCATCCAGGACACCACACTTGTTCTACGTTTGTTGGGAAGATTCCAGATAGATACCTAAATAGGACTTTGGATGCATCAGTTTCTGCAATGGCAACCAAAACCAAAAGAACTAAAAAATTAGTTCTGTAATTAGGTGCAACATGACCAGTCGTACAGCATCTTCTCTCTACAGGAAGACACAGGATGCTCAGTTACATGCCCAGCAAGTCAAACTGGTAAAGCAATTCCTGCTTAGAAAACACCCGTCCTTTCATAGGAACAGGTCTTGGGAGGCTCAGCATGTGTCTACCTGGCAGAGTGCAGACACACATGATACATTTTCCAGCCAGGAGTTGTACAGACTTGTCAGAACAACCCTTTGTCTGGGCTAATAACTAACTTTTTTTTTTTTTTTTTTTTTTTTTTTTTTTTTCCCTGAATAGCACTTTTAAGGTTAGGCAGAGAGTCATGCCAAGGAGGCTACAACTTTTCCTACCCTACAGCTGGCTCACCTTCAACCAGCTCAGGAGGAGGACATGGAAAATGTGAATCTGTCTACCTGCCTGTGTCGATGTTTCCCAATAAGGTGTGGAAACTCAAGAATCTGTCCAAAGAGGATATACACAGCTATGAATACCTCTGAATACCTCTGAATAATCCAGCCTGGGATAACCTAAGAACGGTTACAGCTCCCAACTTTGACTCTGATCTTGCAAAACCAGCAGTTAGAAGTTTGAAACAAATCTTCTTCAAATACCTTACATGACAGTGGGCTTTGTGAATAGCTCATTAATTGCTTAATTGAAGTTTTTAACAAACGTTTGGCACAGATAATTTTAGAGCATTTAACCCACACCTATAATTTTTAAGAAAAACAGACTATAAATTAATTCCATTATTTATTAGACCCGTATCCCATATGTGGTTACCTTATGCTCATTTCTAGTCTCTTTATAATAAAATGTATCCATAAAAGTTTCATTTTTGAATACAGATATTTTGAAAGCTAACAATTACTGAAAATTCTGAGAGGTCTGGAATGAACACAGCAACTTTATCACCCATTTCTGAAAGACATGGAGTTGTATCTCTGTTCATTTTAATATATATATATATATGCCTCCTGTGTTATTTGAGGAACCACTCGAATAGGGATTGAAAATAGCACATGGATGTAAGCAATGGCCTTTAGGCCAGTCTTTGAGAGCAGCAGTTACATAATATTTCATAGTAAGGGCTGTTCTTCAGGTAACATTGCACGTTCTTGATCAGAGATAGAAAAATACCTATGTAAAGTTAATATTCAGAAAGACATTACCAATGTGTCACTAGCTGTATTTTACATGCCTCCCGCCACTTTGCTGCCGATGTGATCAGGCTGGGTATCATTCTCTGCTTCACTCTGAAGCAACAGTTTCACAGGGAGGTTGTGTTTTGTTTTTAAATATCACATCAAGTGACTTCTTTCTGCTTGACAGTAAAAGTGCTGGTGAGTTAATCTTTGGACTAACAGGCAAAGCAGAGTGGACCAACAGTTTACCTGCTGCTGAAGAGACTGCTTTTGACAGAAAATTAAATTGCGACTGTACGAGTGTTACAGGACCAGAAACACGCACTCAGTGCACAGGCATGCCCCAGGGACCGCAACACATTCTGCGGAGCTCCTGCATAGCCACGGCCGAGCAGAAGGGTCAGGAACATGCCTGCTAGGCTTGGCACTGAAGCAATCAACAGCTCCTCAGCACTGCACTGGACAGGAACGCAAATATGGCCTTTTAAAGCCACTGCAGCAACGACACGGGGACCACACGATGGCAGCTGTCTGCCTAAGGGCTGTAAGAGGAGAACCAGGTAAAGGAGATGGAGTTCAGTGAATGATGACCCTGTGGTTTGGTGTGCTTCCTTCCACGGGGGACCGGCCGTGGACCTGCAGCACGCTTTACAGCAGGGAAGCCGAAGGAATGGAGTTACTGCCGGCAGGGAGAAACACGGAAACAGTCTCCTGGCAGCCAGGCTCCGGTGCTATTTGCTTGAAGTTGTCATAAGAAAATTAGAGATGACAGTCAGCAGTCTGGCATTTTCAGCTTTTCCATAAAATCTTCATAACAGAATAAAATAATCTGCACAACAGCTTTGGAGATAAGCACTGTAATTGGAAGGGACACAGAAACCTCTGCAAATGTGCTATTATTTATTACAGCACATTAGCATCCTGAGAACAACGGGTTCTCACTCGGGATTATTCTTCTCATCTCAGACAAAATAAGTCTGCTGCCCCTTCCAGTTCTGCTCTTTCTCTGCAGTGCAGCACATTACATTAGTTTAATTCCCGCTTCCCAGCTGAGGAAGGACTCAGACCACTGTCACCAGCGCAGAGCTGTCCCAGTGACGGTGGGAGAGCCAAGGGTCGCTGTGCGTCAGCATCGGGCTGGAGCTTGTGCAGTCTGTCTGTCACAAACACAGCCGAGAGGACCCAGCTGAGGATCAGTTTCACTGTCGCCTACCCGCCAGCCTTTTATATTTCATTTAGCTGGAAAAGCTCTGGGATGCAGCCAGGACACCAAGCTGTCTTTCTGCTGATAGGAGAACACAGCAGCCACACATTTCACTTTCAATCCACTTTCAGTAAGCTATCTCAAATCCAGCTGCTTTAAGTACAAAATTCAACCTGTTCAGCTCAGCCCATTTGTTGGCTGAACCTACAAGTTTAAGATCAGAGCAACGGCCGAACCCTAGAGGGTGTTTGCCTTTAAAATGAAACGCTGTTTGGCACTCATTGGAGCAATACAACGAGACTCCATTCCCTGAGTCTAACAATTAATGAACTTTCAAGAGAGAGAGGGAACCGAGAAGGCACAAAGGAAGAACTAAGAACCTGGATCAGATTAGATGCCTTGGATGAAATACTGCAA